TTTGATGTGGAAATTTACCTGGATGTAACTTTGCCATGTGTAAAAGGCAATTACATCCCATAGTGGGGGTTCCCTTCCAAATGCACTCTGTGATAGCGAATGTTCGTGTACATGGTACCTGAAGGATTGCCCAAGAGCTGAAACTGGATTCCAACAGATTTGCTGGCACCATATCATCTCTCACCTTTCGTAGCAATGAGCAGCACTGAGCACCCAGTTTTGGCTGATCAGTGCCACACCACAGTAGGGCCCTTCCTCAGTCTGGAGTAGACCAAGCCAACGATGTCCGTCTTTCTCGCATTCCTGACCTCCAACAACCCTCACAGGGTTTGCCAACACTGCAATCAAGACCAAGAAAGTTCAGAGTCTGGCTGCGGTGACCACCAATATCCCTCATCTGCTTTGGAGCACCTCTAAAGCACCCAATGAGCTTTCTCACTTCCAAAGAAGGCGAGCTAAGAGATATTTCACAGGAGGGTTTCTTCTGTGATTGTTTGGAGCTGAAGAGTACAGATAAATGTAAGACCTGGTTGTGAAGGACAGACTAGTTTGGAAAGCATTTGTTCAAAGAGTCGCTATAGGTTGGAGATGACTTGATGCCATTTAGCAACATCATTTATGATTTCTGTGCTTTGTAAGCCAGTGCTAGGATTCCACTGGCCATGAAAACAGTTCAGCCTCCTAAGGCATGGGTGGGCTGGGGAAACCTAGCAGTTATTTTCACTGCAATAATAATAATAGCACTCATATGCCTAAATGTATATCTGTGGAAGAGCCCATGACCTCTCTAAGGAACTGGTTCCACTGTTGTATAGCTCTGACAGTGATTTTCCCATGATATCTGGCCTGAATCTGTACTGTCGGAATGCGAGCTCATTATTGTGGGTCCTACACTCTGGAATCAGTGAGAAGAGATCCTGTCCTCTCTCTCTTTGTGTAATTGCAACAAGATGTCACCAAAGAGAGCAAGCAATGGTGGGCCTACAATGGTCCAGTATTCCCCAGCTTACACCTCCAATAACCTATCTCAGAATCTTGCCATTAGCAGCATTTTCCAAGAAGGTTTCAGGAGAGTTCGGTCACATCCACCACTGAGCACACGCAAAAGGGGCCCTGATCAATGACACCATCCTCTGTTCAGACAGAAGTAGACATGGTGAAATCCTTCAGCAGGGGATTCTCTGGTGGCAAAGTGGAGAATACAGGACTTTGACCTGCTGGGTTGCAAGTTGAAGAGGTATTGGTGTGTGGATATGGCCATGCTGATGGGCTGTTCATCTGTTTGTGGGGTATTCAAAACATTTAGCACCTTGACAGAATGGGCAGGTAAAGTCAGGATAGGTTGTCATCAGAGCATTCGCTATCTGGATGGCTTCCTATGTGATGGGGCTGTGAACATCTCGGGGGACCAGTTTCCCCTTCAGCCCTTTCAGATCCTGGCCTGGAAGTGAGAGGTGTTACTGGCCCAAGAAGAAGCACCAGGAAAAGTCCCCATATTGATCTAACTAGGCAAGGTGCTCAAGTCAACCACCAGGATTCCCCACCTCACACTGGATGAGCTGGCCCCCCTGCTGCACACAACCGAGCTCTGACAAGAATGCCCTTTGAGGAAAACACAAGCCCCCTTGGGCCCCCTGCATTTCACACATACAGCAAATTCACCAGGCAGAGCCTTTTGCACTCAAGACCCACAGCCAGACCTTAGCATAACAGGTTTGATGGCTTGGCCAGGCTTCCTACATGAGTCCAGTGGCCCCTAATTCTGGCAGGATGAGCTCTAGCCGAAGCATGGCTACCAGTTCAATCAGGGGCCTCAGGGAGCTCGGGGGCTCCTAGCAAGGCCAACGGGGCACAAAAAGATGGCTGTCAGACTGAGACTAGGTGGGCATCATATGGGACCTCAGTTTCCTGGATTTTTTCCCCATCCTGGTGGGAATGGCTATCTGGTGATAAAGGTTTCAGGGCAAGCACATGATCGTTGCTGCAACATTTGAGTTGTTGTCAGAGTCATTAATAAGCAGATGTGGCACTCAGACAAGGCCCTGGACAAATAATGTGCTACTAGACAAAAATCAGAATTTATGCATGAGATGCAATCCTCTTTGGATAGAAAATGGTCCATACACAACACGCGAGCATGCGCGCACAGAGAGAGAGAGAGAGAGAGAGAGAGAGAGAGAGAGAGAGAGAGAGAGAGGTGCAGTGCAGGTGGAAGAAAAAGGATACATGTCGACTCTGCCTCCCTTTCACCATCCCCACCTCTGTTTGCGACTACGCTGCACCCTAATGCTGGTCCTTACCCAAAGAAGGCTGCAGTAACAGAACGAACGCCACTAATTTGGCTGGTCCCATGGTGGTAGCTTGGCCTGGTGAGAAGTTCCTCTGTGCTTTAGAAGTGGGCGATCAGTTCAAGATGAAGGTGGCCCACTGCTCCCTTTCTATTTATGCCCCAAAGTCCAGCCACAGCTGCTCCAAAGATGCCAGATTCTCACCATTCCACACCTGGCTCAACCTGTTTCCTTGATCCAATCCCAAATATGTACCCAAATGTAGGACTCTTAATACTTTCAAAATAAAGCTAGATTAATACCTCCCCATTCCAAAGATATCTCAAAATACTTAGCGTGATTGTAAGGTGATTAGTTGACCAGCTCAACCAGTTACACAGAATATTAGATACCAGGAAAATGATGTTCCATGGACATTCATTTTAATTATGGAAGCTTTTCCTGTCTGTGAGAACTTATATTCTAACCATCCTTCCATAATTGCCTATAACTGTTGAGGAGATTTCTCGTAATTCTTTTCTAGGTTTTCCTCTATAAAGTGTACAACACATGTTCCCAGATGGTTTAATATTATACATTTATGCTGCACAAGAAATGGTTTGGAGAATTGGATCTTAAATTTACAATAAATTAAAACCATCCTAAACAATTCATGTACCTTTATTGTGGAGGGGAAATTATAGCCCTTAAATAAGAGACTTGCTCTCTAGTATGGGCAGCTAAAGATTCCGTAAACATAACAAATAAAACTGAAGAGAACTGACACATACCGTCTTGTGCATCTAAGTGTATGAAAATTATACAATAAATATCCACTTGATGCTATACCTATCAACGTTCACCCATTTTCCAAATTTTACTCTAGTATAAGTAGCCATTTTACTATATTAAATGCTTTCTCATGATCTATGAATACTAATGCTTCTAGATTCTGATCAACTTTCATTTTATGAAATCCACTAAAAGTTTTCCTTACGGTGTATGCCAGCTTCCATTTTTTAAACCAACCCAGATTCATCCATATGTCTATAATTCTTGAATCCTTTATTGATTAGACAAAGGAAGCAGCAGAGAACACAAAAGGCTTACACTTGGGGGGAAGGGGGCTGAGAAACCAGTCGTCTTTCAGGTCCTGCTGCAGGAATACTTGAAGGAGGACAGAGTAAGTGGGAAGGTGTGGTAGCAAACAGCCCACGGAGAGCTGAACCATTTCTTGCTTGATGGTTTGCCAATGCAATAACCAACCCACCATTCCCAGAGTGGTTTGTCATGCCATGCAAACACAGCCGATGCGTAGTTCAATCCCACTTGCCTCCACACCTCTGGAGCAGCATATGGAAAAGCACAGTTGCATCTCATTTCCAGTGAAAGAAGTTGATAAGCTGAAACCTGGTGCTCCCTATCTTTAAGAAGCAACTGTTTAATCACTTGCCCTGCTGGCTTTATCTGATGGTCCTTGAACTATGAGCTTTTCAGTAAGAAGTTGATCAACAAGCAGACCTGGGAACAGTTCCTTTTTTAGAATAAGGTTCATGCATGATCAGTTCTTTTCTTGTAGTCTGGCCTCCCCAAGCTGTCAAATTCTTCCTCTTGGTTGCTTCACAAAGTCACCTTGCTTGTGAGTAAGGCATAACACTTCTTCATAGACAGCCATCTGAGTGGGATGGTGTAATGTGCTGTCTTGCAACAGCAGGGGCTTGGATTCGATGGCCTTCATGTCCCTAGCTCTAATATTCTATGCTTCTATATGCAAGCAATTATTGTGTATAGGATCACTTATGCAAGAACATCTGGGAGGCCCTTTCACGAGGCCATCCTCCTCCAGGGGTTTCCCAAGGGTTCCAGCCATTTTCTTGGCATTTTAAGTGTGAGTAAAGTCTGGTATTTTCCTAGATGGTGCCACCATTTGCCAAAGGAGCCTCATTTATTTTTGTCATTCTGTGCTGTATGGCAGTGTGATCTTAAGCTGCATAGTGGAACCTATAAGGGCATATAGAAAAGCAAAGAGGAGATTCCTCAGGGAAGAAACCTCATGAGAAGGATGTGCAAATTTTCAGGCATGGAAGACTCAGTGTGAATCACAAGGTAAATCACCAGCTCTTCTTTTTCTGGAAATCAATGGTCAATGCTTCTGTGATGGGATTTGAGAAATGCTGGAGTCTCTTTTATTTTCATTTGGATCATTGGCTTTTAAAGAAGCCACATACAGCCCATCCTATGAGCGCAAGATCCAAGATTCTCGTGCATTGGATGAAAATAGCCATCTTCAAATTACTTTTTGAAACAGGACGTCCCATGCCTATCCTCCTCTGGGAAGAGATCCCTTCTCAGGCATTGAGGAAAACATGCATCCTGCCAGGAATTGAGGATGCAATAATGTTGTGTCATTTGTGCACATGTTGCCCAGAAGAAGTTTCATTATGTCCCATGACATTTACTGTCAGGAAAAAGAGTGCCGAGATTGAGATCTAAGATATGAGAAAAGTGACATTGGCTCTCACATGTGTGTTTTGGCCTCTGCTCCTATTAAGATGACTCAGGAGATTTCTCTTACTAATCCAACCTTGGAGCAATGAGGACTGCTTGTAATTGGACCAGTAATTCCCCAGATCCAGTTGAGAAAGTTGAAGACCTTGGTATAATCCCCGGGCTGCAGTGATTTGCCACAGAGTTTGGCAAACAGATTTGCCGGAAGAATGGCTACCAAACTGCAAGAGCAGAGCTTGGGTGCATCTTGCACTGACCATGCAGAGGAGGGGCTCCCGGTAAAGGATTGTGGCCAAGCATCTGGACTTGTATGGGGGTGAGCTCAATGCAGAGGAAGAGCAGCATTGTTTCAGGAGTGGCACCCTGAAAATGAGGATGAGGCTGTAGCCCTGGCAGAAGACTACCAGTTTCTGCATCCTGAGCCGGGCAGACAGCCCTTCCCAGAGAGGGCAAGGCAGAGGGCTTCAGCCAGGTCTTGGCTCCTCTGAAACCTCCAGGCCAGCCAACCGGGATCAGATATCAGTACATAATAGCAGAGGGAAGGAAGCTTGTCTCAGTGTGTAATACTGTTAATGAAATATCCTTCGCAATCGGGGAAGGCCATTAGTAGGACTTGAAATGCCTCCCATCCATGATTTGTGCCATGCTTGCGCTGCCTGAGAGCCACGTGGGGCAGCCGCTCTGTCCTTTGCATAGTAAGGTTCAAAGAACTGTGCCTCTGAGGCTCCAAGTTGCTTTGACCAGCTTTGCGGTATGCAGAACATCCCAGGGGCAGGTGGCAGGCCAGAGTGTGATCCCAGGACTCACCCCCCACCTCCCATGGTGGAAGTAATACAAGCCGGGTTCATAATTTGCAGTCTGCTATGTGCTGGAGAGGCAACCCATTTTTCTGCTTTTTTAATAATAGAAGCCTGGCTTCACTGGTTCGCAGCTGCAACTGGAGACCTTGAGATTTGTTTGAAAATCTTTTTGTGCTTCCTCCTGTGTACCAGTTGCAGGGCAGTAAAATGTGGCCATCTGCAGAGCAAAATGAGCCAAGGAACGGGTTCTGAGCATGCTGAAGTTGAAGAGGGAAGGCCAGAATATCCTCACTTTCCTTCCTGTACGTTGCACCCTTATCCTTTAACGCTGGGGGGCGGGGGACATGGAAGCCCCTCTCTGAGTTAGGTACAAGCATTGTTGCCAGCTGAATTGGGCCAGGAATCCTGCTGCAGCTGAGATATGTATGTGGGTGCATCGCCCTAACTGGGTTAGTTTGATACAGCAGAGACCTGCTTCCCTTCTGCCCCCTTCAGGTTGGGTGGCACCTGCAACCCCAAATGCGGCTTTGGGAAAGAGAGAGATGCAATATTTCAGTGAACAATTGCAACATCCTGTCTTCTGGATTGCTAATGTTGAATAAAACGGCCATGTTTTAAAAGATGTGGCACATCTCAATCTAAACAGTTAATCATTTGGGCCTGTGTCAGATTGTAGCTGTGAAACAACTTCAGATAATCTGAAGACTTTCGCACAGTCAAATGAATCCTGTGCATTTTCTAAGCCTCCAATTCTCTGAAGGCTTGTGCTTGCATGCTGCTGTTCTTGTTACTTAAAGACTGGCGTTCATCTCTGCATTTTGCAAACAAGAACTCGCAGGATAGCAGCTGTGCAAGGGTCCACCTAGTGCAGCATTCAAACCAACCACCTGCCTGTGGGAAACCCACAAGTAAGACATGAGTGCAAGAGCATCTGGTGTACACCGTCTCTGAAACTGGCCATGCCCCTGATGACTACTAGATATGGACCTATTCTGTGAATTTGTCTAATCCTCCTTTAAAGACAGCCAGACTGGTAGCCATCACTACACATGGTGCATTTCCAAGTTTATGTACTGTGTGGGCCCTCTAATCTCTTAGCTTTCACTTTTATGTTCTTTTTCCCTGCATCTCCCATCAGTCAGCTTCATGGCATTTTCTACAAAGCTGATGGACTGTAGCTGTATGGAAAAGGGAGGTAAATAAGAGTGATTGATGGTTATTGATAACACTTGCAATAAACTGTCTCATCCAGTAGCTACCACTGTACATGATGGTGAATCCATGAGTTAGTCACACATTGAACAATTAAAGATACTTCCTTTTGCCTGAGCCAAATTTTACTGACAATCAATGGACACTGTAAAATTTCACTTGATGTTGCAGTTCAGATTTCATTAAGAAAGAGTAAAGGGATTTGAGGATGCCTTCCAGATGGTATAAGAGTACACCTCTCAATCACTATTCAAGAATAAGCCCCATTGCATTCAGCTTCTGGTGTACACATCTATTTCTCCAGAGGTTCAGCACATTGAACTACTGATCAAAAAGCTTCAGTCGTGGCAGTAGGAGGAAAATCTCTGGATTGACTTTTGGTTCTCTTTAGCAAACAAGCTCTTCATGGTGAGGTTCTCTGTGTTCCTGGTCAGTGGGGCTTAGTCCCAGGTCAGTTGGAATAGGGTTGTAGCCAAAGCAACAGAATCCTTTCTGACTGAAAGGGACAGCAGCTGGAGTTGTGATCCCTAACACCCACATGCAGGAGCAGCTTAGAGGAAACTAT